CCGTGCGCAGAAGTGGAAAACTTTTGACTGCCATTCACCTGGGAGTGGCCAGAAGCGATTCTTGTGCGTACGGTTCAAATCGCAGCTCACAACGTCCGGATATTTATATCCACGTATCCTCTGGGTAGCAACCAAACACCCGTTTGGGAGCGAGCTAAAGTGAGAAGGCGTAAAACTTCGCGTGCGCTGGGTTTGGGTCCCGCCACGTTAAAACCCCGCCCAATGAAAAATTCCAACAAGCCTCGGATGAGACCCCCTTTTTCTGATGACGACCACGGCAAACGTATAAAGGACTATGATTTAAGGGTATGCACCTGGAATATCCGGACCCTTAATGGGGAAGGTGCCTCTGCCCGGCTGGTTGATGTCCTCGGGAAGACAAAGGCTGACATCACCGCCATCCAAGAAATGCGATGGACGGGGCAAGGTAAAGTAAGCGTGAAGCCTTGCGACGTCTACTACAGTTGCCACGTAAAGGAGCGCAAATTCGGTGTTGGATTCGTGGTAGGAGATAGACTCCGTCGCCGAGTACTGGCGTTCACCCCGGTGGACGAACGTCTAGCCACAATCCGCATCAAAGCTAGATTCTTCAACATCTCGCTCATCTGCGCCCATGCCCCGACGGAAGAGAAGGATGAGGCGTCCAAGGATCTCTTCTATGAGCGCTTGGAACGTACATATGAGCGCTGCCCCCGACACGATGTCAAAATCGTGCTTGGCGATTTTAATGCCAAGGTGGGCAAGGAAGGGATCTTTGGCGCCACTGTCGGAAAATTCAGCCTCCACGACGAAACGTCCGATAACGGACTGAGGCTGATCGACTTCGCCGGGGCCCGAAATATGGTAATATGTAGTACTAGGTTCCAGCATAAGAACATCCACCAAGCTACATGGCTGTCTCCGGATCGAAAAACGAGAAACCAAATCGATCATGTTGTGATAGACGGAAGGCATGCTTCAAGCGTTTTGGACGTACGTACACTCCGAGGGCCAAACATCGACTCGGACCACTATCTTGTTGTAGCCAAAATACGCACCCGCCTCTGTGCAGCAAAAAATGTGCGCCCAACAATGCAAGGAAAGCTTAACGTCGAAAAGCTGCAATCACAACAGACGGCCAATTTATTCGCCACTCGACTCACACACCTGCTCTCTGAGAGCACTCTTCAACAATCCGACGTACGCGAGCAGTGGAACCACATTTCCCGATCATTAAGTACCGCCGCCGAAGAAGTAGTTGGATTTCAGCGAGCCCGAAAGAACAACTGGTACGATGAGGAATGTCAAGAAGCCGCAGAGAAAAAAGATGCCGCCTACAGGGCCACGCTGCGATCGGGCGCAACGCGAGCCATGTGGGACCGTTATAGGGAACTGAAGAAGGAAGCGAGACGTATTTGCCGCAATAAGAAGAGAGAGGCCGAAATACGTGAGTGCGAAGAGCTTGAGATGCTGGCCGACAGGAAGAATGCCCGAAAATTCTACCAGAGGGTTAGGCGACTTACGGAAGGTTTCAAGACCGGGGCGAACTCCTGTAAGAACAACAATGGCGACCTAGTGACCGATGTCCAGAATATACTTAAATTGTGGAGGGAACACTTTTATAACCTACTGAATGGTAGCAGCGCTGAAAGTAGTGAGGAAGACGAACCCGAGTCCCCAGTCGATGATGATGGAGTAGCTGTCCCACCGCCTGACTATGACGAGGTACGAATAGCGATTACGCGGCTGAAAAACAACAAAGCTGCTGGAGCTGACGGCCTGCCAGCCGAGCTATTCAAGTACGGCGGCGAGGAGCTGATGAGGTGCATGCATCAGCTCGTATGCAGAATATGGTCAGATGAACGCATGCCCGACGACTGGAATTTAAGTGTGCTCTGGCCAATCCACAAGAAAGGCGACCCCGCCATACGCGCCAACTACCGCGGAATTAGCCTTCTAAGCATAGGTTACAAGGTCTTATCGAGCGTATTGTGCGAAAGACTGAAGCCCACCCTCAACGAGCTGATTGGACCTTATCAGTGTGGCTTTAGGCCTGGAAAATCCACCATAGATCAGGTATTCACAATACGCCAAATCTTGGAAAAGACCCGCGAGAATAGGATCGACACACACCATCTATTTGTCGATTTCAAAGCCGCTTTCGACAGCACGAAGAGAAGTTGCCTTTATGCCGCGATGTCTGAATTTGGTATCCCCGCGAAACTAATACGGCTGTGTAAAATGACGTTGAGCAATACCACCAGCTCCGTCAGAATAGGGAAGGACCTCTCCGAGCCGTTTGATACCAAACGAGGTTTCAGGCAAGGGGACCCCCTTTCGTGTGATTTCTTTAATCTTATGTTGGAGAAGATAATAAGAGCCGCAGAACTGAACCGCTCAGGCACAATACTTTATAAGAGCGTACAATTGCTGGCGTATGCCGACGACATCGATATTATCGGTAAAAACAAGGGCTACGTCTGTTCTGCCTTCTCGGGATTGGATAGAGAAGCAAAGCGAATGGGTCTGGTGGTGAACGAGGACAAACGAAGTATCTCCTGTCAGCACACAAACAGTCAGAGCATACGCGTCTTGGCACCCACGTCACTGTTGACAGTTACAAGTTTGAAAAAGTAGACGACTTCGTTTATTTGGGAACCAGCATTAACACCAATAATAATGTCAGCCTTGAAATCCAACGGAGAATCACTCTTGCCAACAAGTGCTACTTTGGGCTGAGTAGGCAATTGAGAAGTAAAGTCCTCTCTCGTCGTACAAAGATCACACTCTATAAGTCACTCATCGTGCCTGTGCTGGTGTATGGTGCGGAAGCATGGACAATGAAAGCATCTGATGAGGCGGCTCTTGGAGTTTTCGAGAGAAAGATTCTGCGAAAGATTTACGGACCTTTACGCGTTGGTGATGGCGAATATCGCAGACGATTTAACGATGAGCTGTATGAGCTTTACAACGATGTAGACATAGTGCAGCGAATTAAAATTCAGCGGCTCCGCTGGCTTGGCCATGTCGTTCGGATGGACAGAAACGCTCCTGCTCTGAAAATATTCAACGCGGGCCGCGATGCTGGGAACAGAGGAAGAGGAAGGCCTCCTCTGCGTTGGAAAGACCAGGTGGAGAAGGACTTGGCTTCACTTGGCATTTTCAATTGGCGTCAGTTAGCACAGAGAGAAATGACTGGCGTGCTGTTTTGGACTCGGCCAAAATCGCTTAGGCGGTTACAGCGCCAAATAAGAAGAAGAAGAAGACCTACTATACAGTAAAGCTTCTAGGGCATTCACTATAGAACCGGGTCATTGTTGCCGCCAGGGAGTGAAGACGAAAAAATTTATTTCGCTTTGCGAATAACCGTGCTATGAAATGCCGCACAACTGGAGAATTTCAAGAACGGATATAACACTTTCCTTAGGTTATTTAAAGCGGCAAATGACCACCAAACCTTAATCTTAGCAGACAAATGTGCCAATGAAAATCGTAAACGTTAATTGTTGGTGAAAATGTTGGACCAAAAAGTTTCAATAAAATATATAAAAATTTTGGGCGGGACGA